TTTTACTTTCCTCTTGTCCCACTGTCATGTTCAGCCTTCATTTGGGTTTCATTAATTCCTCTCGGTTACATTGCCCTTGATCAAGCTCTACCAGGCCTCCTACACCCTCCTCACCATGAATTTTGGATCACTTGTTGTTCCCCTGTTCCTGGATTTGTTAACCCCCACTTCCTTTCTCCTGCCTCCCCCTCTCCTATGTCCCCCTGGAACCCTTCGTCCTGTTGTTTTCTCCTCCAGATTGTTTATCCCGCCTATATTATCTAGATAGACCTGCAGAGATAATATGCACAAAAAACAAGACAGAGCAAAAGAAGACAACAACAAACCAATGACCAAAAAAAGAAAAGCCTGTAAATAGTTCAAGGTCTGTTTGTTGACCTTTAGGAGTGTTTTCTGGTTGAGTCTGATGGGGTGCCATGCCCGGGCCCCAAAGTCTATTTTTGGTATTCCCTCAGGACTTCCTTGCTCTGCTCCCCTTGCTGTTCTGTTGCACATCCTCAGTGTTTTGCCTCGGTGTGGTGGTAGGTGGCCCATTTTTTTATATGGCCTCTTGTAATGCATTGTAATTGCTACTTAGATTAATACAATACTTAAATAGCAACTGTCCTGGGCTACCTGTCTCTTCCTCTTTTTAAAGTGAAAATGTGTTGGCTTATTCCCAGGTACCCTCCAGTACATGGCACCGGAAATCATCGACAAGGGGCCAAGAGGCTACGGAAAAGCAGCGGACATCTGGTCTTTGGGCTGCACCATTATTGAAATGGCCACAGGAAAACCACCGTTTTATGAGCTCGGAGAACCACAAGCAGCTATGTTCAAGGTCTCACTTGTTACGTGTCTTGAGACACCTGTATGAAGCTCTTCGTGTTGTTGTTGTTGTTGCTGGGTTCTGTCCAGCTGATTCCAGCTCAATGGGAACGAGGCAAAAAATGTGGCCAGCGATTGGGAGAGGGGTAACAAACGGTCCTTCAAATCCTCTGCCTGAGAGCGCCCTTTGTCCTTGCCTTTGGGGGGGGCGGGGCTGGCAGGGGGTTGCAGGAAACAGAGGCAGGTACTCACCTGCCTTGTCCCGGATCCAGACCTGTGGCTCTGGGCCCTGTCGGATCATTTTCCTTATTGGGAGCCTGCTACTCTCAAAAAAAAGACAGTAGGGGAACCCACAGGCTGGAAAAGTAGAGATAAGAAATAAGACGGATGCATTTAAAGCAGCAAGTCACTGCCTTTTTAATGTTGCAGGGTTTGCATCCAGGCTCCACCATGGTCTAGCTACAGAATGACTTAGGGCAAGTTCCCCAGACCTCCTTGTTTCTCAGTTTCGCTCCTATAAATAAGTGTACAAAGAGCACCTCGTAGTGTGCGTTTTGTGAGGTTGTATGGGAGCACATGGCCAAAGCAGTGTCTGGAACAGTGCCCGGCAGACAGGAAAGGCTATAGAATTGTTCTACATAATTACATATTACCTATATCAATAGGAGCCCTGGTGGTGTACTGGGCGGTGCGTTGGGCTGCCAACTGCAAGTTCAGCAATTGCAAACCACCAGCCACTCTGTGGGAAAAAGATGAGGCTTTCCTCTCCTGGGAAGAGCCCCGGGATCGGACACCCAAGGGGCAATTTTACCCTGCCCTGTAGGGTCACCGTGAGTCACAGTCAACTCAGTGGCAGTGATAAATATACATATATTAATTTGGGAATAGTTCTCAACCATAAACACACAAAATCATCATCAAAAATTAAAATGTAAGTGACAGCAATGAAAAGATAATTCTGTGTTATGAAAACACCCTTTATTTAATTTCACGGACTTTTACATATTTCAGTTAATGTAGGAGATCGAGATAGGGAAAGTGTTCACAAATCATGTCATAGAGAAAAGTGTACAAGCTTTGGGCCAAACAAGCTTAAGATCTAAATCCCAAATGGAGCTTCTCATAACCATGGAACCAGACCCCTTCTTAACCTCAGTTTCCTCGTTACTGTAACATGAAGAATGCTTTTTAAAAAGCTCTATATATTATTGTTCTTGAAAATATGCACAGCAAAACACATACCACTTCAACAGCTTCTTCATGTGCAATTCAGTGATTGACCTGTCATTTGGTATAAAGAACACTTAAGGCAGTATTTTTGGTTTACAGTTTCAAGTGGATCTCGGGGCAATAGTTTTGGGAGTTCTTCCAGTCTGCATGGCTCCGGAAAGTCTGGATTCCTTGAGAGTTTGAAATCATGTTCCACATTTTTATAGAAATATGTGATCCCCTAGATTTGGGGGGAGGATTCAATGAGATTCATTTATGCAAAAGGCCTAGCCCCCGGCACGTCATTCTTGTGACCACCCCAGTGGCCTCCGTGAAAAACCATCATTTTGTAGGCCAGTGCGCTGGTGTGGCCTAAAGCTGGGATGCGATTTATTACTACGCAGTGCGCTCTCCTGTCTTAAAGGGGAAACGAGTAGGAGAGCAAAGCTGTGAGAGCAAGAAGAGCTGCTCAGGGACTGCTTTCCTTGATGTGAATCGGCGCCTTGCTTTTGATGGCCAAGGAGTACACCCCTTCCTATACTGCCTGCGTCCCTGGTGAAGTGACAAAAGGCCTCTGTGACATTCCATCACCTGGAAATGATAGCCCACGCCATGTTCGGTAGAGGCGATGTGTTAGGGCGTCTTCCTGTGGGAGAGGACCACATTATGGGAACCCGCCCGACAGCACGATCACCCGCAAGACACCACGTTCGCTTTGTCTTTGTGTCCCAGGTGGGAATGTTTAAAGTGCACCCGGAGATTCCTGAGTCCATGTCTGCAGAGGCCAAGGCATTCATACTGAAGTGTTTCGAACCCGATCCAGACAAGAGAGCCGGTGCTAACGACTTGCTGATTGATGAGTTCTTGAAAGTGTCCAGCAAAAAGAAAAAAACACAACCTAAGCTTTCAGGTACGTGGTTGCCCTGAAAAGCTAAATTCTAAGCATTTGGGCTGGAAGGTAATTCCGGAAGTGAACACATTCTCTATGTTGATTGGTGGCCCTGGGAACTGACGTAGACCTTAGGACGTAGACCTCAGACACTTGGTTCCAGTAGCCAGGAGCAGCTAGTGTCAGTTTCACGGATGAGGACTCCTCTCTTATCTGCCCCGTTACCATCTCCCACCCTCGGGTGATTAGGCAGTGAACTCTATCAGCATCTTCTCTAGCGTTGAGCACTGCTGATGCTGGGTTTCAGGTGTAGCCACCACCACCACAAAACAGGTCCCTACAGAGTGCCTTCAGAGACAGCTGACAACACTCTGTGAATCTCAAGCAGTAGAAACCCCTGCTGTCTCCTACAGAGTATCCTTCTGAATCATTACCATGAGGGTGCCAGTTATCAATACGACAGCAATGCAAAAAAGTGTAAGCAAACTGTCCTTTTGGAATTATCTCCACGGCTCATTTCAGAAAGGGGGGAAAAAAAAAAGAAGCGAGCGAGCCATTTGCTCTGGGCCCTTGGGTTGTTGGTATTGGAGGCGGGTGAGCAGATGGACTGTTGGGAACATGCATTGATCCCATTGCCAGCTTTTGTTTTCTGTTGACTTCTCCGTTGAACAGCAGAGCCCGGTGTGCTTACCCTGGTGTTTGTTTTCTCTCCACAGCTCTTTCAGCTGGATCCAATGGTGAGTTCGTTTGTGCCATTGTGATAAACTCGAGATTTCCCACCCATCTAACTCCACCTCTGCTTCTCCCTGACAGGGTGGGGCAGGGTCCTTCT